GAGGCCGATGCAGAGCGGCTTCGAGTGCTGCACCGAGACGTAGAAGGCCTCGGTGGTCTGGCCGGAGAGCGTGCGGCCGGACATGTCGACGATGGTGCCCGAGATGATGACGGGCAGCCGCGGGCAGCCCGACTCCTCGTAGTACTCGTCGATCGCAAACAGCGCCGCCTTGGCGTTGAGCGTGTCGAAGATGGTCTCGACGAGGATGATGTGCACGCCGCCGTCGATCAGGCCGGCGACCTGCTCCTTGTACGCGGTGACCACCTCGTCCCAGGTGCAGTTGCGGAAGCCGGGGTCCTCCACCGACGGCGAGATGGAGAGGGTCCGGTTGGTCGGCCCGATTGCGCCGCAAACCATCCGCGGCTTGTGCGGCTCCAGCTGGGTCACCTCCTTGGCGGCGTCGACGGCGAGCTCGGCGGCCACCTTGTTGAGCTCGTAAACGATGTGCTCCATCTTGTAGTCCGCCTGCGCGATCGTCGTCCCTGAGAAGGTGTTTGTCTCGACCATGTCGGCGCCCGCGAGGAAGTAGCGGCGGTGGATGTCGCGGATGGTGTCGGGCTGCGTGAAGACGAGCAGGTCGTTGTTGCCCTTGAGCTCCTGCGGCGCGCGGCGGGCCGAGGAGCCGTGTCGCGAGGGAAGAGCGGCCGCGTGCTAGAGAGGCCAGCGCGTCGAGAGGGCCGGCGGCGGCAAGGGTCGGAGGGGTGGCATCGGCGGCGGTTGCCTGGTCGATATCCTTCCAGCGCTCGCCGCGGAAGTCCTCCTCGGAGAATTTGTACTGCTGGATGGTGGTGCCCATCGCGCCGTCGATCACCATAATCCGCTCCTGCATGTTCTTCTCAAGGTAGGAGCGCACCATCTCAGCGTCGACGGGGGCTGCGCGCGAGAGGAGAAGCGGGTGAGCGCGCCGTGCACAGAGAGGCAGGAGAGGAGTGGTGGTTGGGCGCGCGCACATCCCCAGGGCAGGTCCGGAAAGGTCCCTTCGACCTTGGCGGCCACCAGCTTGGGCGTGTCCATCTTGGACGTGAGCGCGGCCTTGGCCAGCTCCAGCCGCTCCACCAGGCTCGCGACGACAACCTTGAGCTCGTCCAGGCTGAGCTCGTCGTAGTTGATGGCCGCCTGCGCAAGGCGGCGGCGGCTGGAGGCCTACCGCGAGGGCTGCGGCGCGGCGCAGGCGGGCCGTTCGCAAGCGTGGCCCTCTTGCAGTTTCACAGAGATCTGCAGCGGGCGCAGAGCGGCCGCAGCGGTGTGACCCGCCGGCCGGCGACTTTGGCGCGCAGCGCTGTGGACAGCGCCGCGGGGTGCGGTGGTCTAGCGCGCCTGCTGGCGCTCGATCTCGGCCGTCACGGCGGCGGAGAGCGAGGCAGAGTCCATCGTGTGGATGCGAGCAGAAGGTTCCGCAGCGATCGCTCGCGATGTGCACAACCAGAAAAAATAACCGTCCCGTAGAGCCGAACTTACACTCCTCTCCTTAAAATCCCTGTGTGGTGGCGGCGTGCCGTTCTCCCATCCCTCCCTTGGTGTTTTGTTTCTTTCTTTCTTTAGAGCCCTGCTTGCCATTGTAAATGAGTGGTATTTTTACCAGTTGATTCTCCTGGGGAGTGGTATTCAGAGAGAGAGATTTTTAGCAATACCATATTCAAGGCCTGGGAGCGCTGGGGTGATGAACCACCGCTCACCCGCTCTCATCTCATCCTCTCCCGCTCTGGCTGGCACTCACTCATGAGATCAGTGATCACCATGCTCTCAGGCCCCATGGTGTGTTGTGCGTGGATATGTTCATGATCCCATGTGCATGGAGTGACGCGCACGCGGGGCGGGCTGTGTCGGCGGCGGCGGGGCCCGCGCTGAGGGGCGGCGGCGCGCTTCCACCCTACGAGTAGAGACTGCTGACTAGAAATTAGCGAGTGCAGCGAGCCATTCGTGAATTCTTTTCTTTCTGCTCGGCTCTATGTCACCAGTTTTCGCAAATTGTGCCGCGGCGGCTGCCCGCAGACCCGCGGCAGTGCGGGGTGGGGCTGCGCGCCTGCGCCGCTGCGGGCTGCGGGGGTGGGGACTGGGGTGCGTATCTCGCAGCACATGACATGACTGTGCGCGACACATGCGCGGGAGACCGTGCCCGCGCGCGAGCCGCGCGGGGGGGAGGCCCTCACGGCCTCCACTCCGACCGAGACCAGCAACGGAGGGGGGCAGGAGGGCGCGCGGCAAGCCGCGGGCTCGGCGCATAGCACGGGGCAGTCAGAGAAGGGGGCAACACTGACCGTCACTTGCACCCTACCGCCCTTCTCATCACTGCCCCGGCGCCCACACCTCGATCTTCTTGGGCACGCTCGGCTCCGCTCGGCTCCGCTCGGCTCCGCTCGGCTCCGCTCGGCTCCGCTCGGCTCCGCTCGGCTCCGCTCGGCTCCGCTCGGCTCCTGCCATCCTACAGTGGGACTGTACCGGAATCACGGGCCCTTGAGGTCAAACATCGGGAGCCAGAGTTTATGTAGCTCCCTTTGCCTTCCTCCTCAAGAGCAGCAGCAGCAGCAGCAGCAGCAGCAGCAGCAGCAGCAGCAGCAGCAGCAGCAGCAGCAGCAGCAACCAAGGTGTCCGCGTCAAGGTACAGCCTTTGATGTCCGGGTAGTGGCTTGCCAGGTACAGCCGATTCACCGCACACCTCTTGAACCTCTCGAGGTGTCTGACCACCAAATCGTCAAACCGTAATCCCATCGAATCTCCTAACGGCATGCAGTGCGGACACACCGCCCTCGTGCTCGCATTCAGAGGCTTGAGCAGATGCAAATGGACAGCCTCTGCACCGTCATGCATGATGTGGACGTGCACGGTTGCTGATGCCATGAACACGAGCGCACGGATGTTACTCAGCACCGTCTCGGCCAGCAATTTTGATCCACAGACACTGAACCACATGAAGTGTGTCAATTCCTTGGTCATGAGAATGAGACGAGCGTGCCGGTTTCGTGGTAGGTTGCGTCTCGAGAGCCGCTCGGGACGCAGCGTCCCGCAGGATGCAGACCACTTCCGCAGAAGATTTGCAAACCCGACCCGTGCGCATAATGGCGGGCATGCAACACTGATTGGGACCGCCAGGTCGACTGGAGCAGAGGTGCCCGCCGCACATCCCGCATGTTGCGTTGCAGCAAACCTGGCCGCTCAGGTGCAGGACGCCGGCCGAGCAGGCGTTGGATGCTATCTGCGCCACGGACCTGACGGTGAGGTTGAGGCGGTGGTTGATGACCGTACGGTGCGCCTCGGCCGACGAGGGGGGCGAAACATGGAATTTGGGCCGTTGGTTCTTCAACGGACGCGGGGGGGAACGGAAATCCGCAAGGACCTAGGGAAGGACGATAAGGGACACAAGGGAACGGAGAGGGGAGCGCATCGCGACACGGAGGGAGGCTGGGCAGGATTCACCCGCAGGACAGGGTCTCTCCCAGGGATTCCTCTCTCTCTCGTATATATAGGACAGGTTGCTTGC